ACCTGACCCTTACAACTTTGAGACTGAAATTCTTACATCAACAGGATCGTATATCACTTTTTAACTGGCTGATTTTTTTATAATTAATGAATTCAAGTAAACCGTAAGCGGCCAAGGAATTTTAACGTGCAACCGCGACTGGTGGGAGGGGGTGTGGGGGGGTGTTGGGAGAAGTAATTTGCCTCAAAAGAGTCCAACAGTCCTTTCTGAACCAAAGTTTGAACCCCCCGATCAAAAATTCCTGGATCTGCCCCTGATGCTACATGCTACACTAATTAAGATATTCAGCTTTGTTTACTTTATTAAAACGGCATGTACTACATGCCTTTACCAGCTAGTTCTACATTGAAACATGAATTAATTATCAGAATGTGTCTATGTGTGTAAAAAAAAACCATTCATGCTGAGATATATTTATTTCATGCAGTGTGGCTCAATGAAATCAATTCTTATGTATAAAAGCTAAAATGTTCAGAAACTACTGAGCCATCCCCATGACTAATCTATTCTTCATGTGCAGGCAATGGTGTAACATGTGTAGATATGTGGGACATGGAAAGACAAGTATTTGGAACTGGGAAGACATTTGGACAGTTCTGTAGACACAACTGGCATTGGTAGACCATAAATTGGTAGTTCCTCCCCATAGTCCACACCTTTAGCACTGCTAGCTGCCCAAGTCTTAAAACTTGTCCATCATGTGTACTGGTAACTCCCTCAGTTACTGTTGGGTTGAATGACATCTGTCCTTCTAATGCAGATGTTCTTTTGGCAGAAGCCTTCCACTGAAGTTTAACTTTGCGACCATCGGCTTTTAGTGACTGAATCATATCAAGTAAGTGATTGTTTACTTTCTTTTCTTTCCAAGCCTTGGGTTAAACATCTTTTACTGTAAGTGGCTCCTGTGTGCTGTTTTCTCTAATCTTCTTTGAGTTCTTTCTTGCCTCTTGCAAAAGGTCTGTGCTGAGCATTTGGGTACATCCTTTCATTCTTTCTTTGTGAACTTCACTTGCTGCTTCTGTGGTACTGGTGTTGGTTTTTCTATTGTGCACAATGTTTTCAGCAAATGTGATTGAGGCCTGGTTTGATAACTCTGACATGTTATCATTAAGATACAGTTGAGAAAGGTTGAACTCACAATCTTTCAGCAAGAACATTCTTATCTGGTAGACTGAAAATGTGCTTGGCATAGAACTCAAACAGGTTTGGACTGGCTTCTTTACTTATGAGTGAGCTCCATGGTGATAAAGCCAATTCTCTGATATCATTTAGCAATTGCAGTTCCTTTAATTTCGAAAGAGTGGCCCATTTAATTAATTCAACTCTTTCTTTAGACACCAATGTGAGACTAAATGTTCACTGACTTTTCTTCTTGATCTTCAGACCTGACTTGAATTTCAAGAAGCTTTAATACAGAATGCCAGATAGGACTTTGGTATCTCTGTTCAGCTTGCATTCCAAGCAACTTAGGAAAAGTTAACCACTCTGCTCCATGATCTTTGATTTGTGAAAATGGTTAATAGCTGCTGGGTCCTTCAGTGACATCTTCACCTGTTGTTATGTTAAAGGAAAATATGCTGATGGGACATCAACATTTCACTAAAGTTTCTTGGTGCTTCAGAATATTTGCTGGCCGTAACCGTGCCAGGTAACCACTGGAGAATCCAACTTCTGCATCAGTAACTTTCGATGTATTGAGAGATGGGATGATAAATTTGTCAAGGAATTCAAACAAAAACTTGATTCAAACTTGAATCATAGGACTGGAAAAAAATGAGAAAATGTATCCACAAAGGAATACCCCTTTTTCTTTTAAGGTGATACGGTGGCCCAGAAGGGACAACGCTTCTACTTGAAAATGTAGTGTCGTTCTGTAAAAATGTAACTGTTCTTTTTGGAATTAAACATCTTTCGTTAGAATTCTTTGTTTGCGCGTGACATCGGCATAAATTAAAAAACCGGGGTCAGCCATGTTGGGGGATAACCACGTGTTACAATCCCTGTAACATAGCTGTCTGAAGTGTAAGTTGAAGGTGTTACACATATACTTGTCAATGTCATGCATTCTAAATAGCT